TGTGGTTGTAGGGTCTCATTGTAGCGTCTCATTGCAGCAGGATGAATGACCTGCAGTAGCTCCTTTTTCCAACCAGGCTGTAAAAGTCTCTGACTGAAGGAGCTGCTCAGCTCCTCTCCAGTCTGCTGCAGAGGGTGGAAGGTGGCGTCCATGATGGATGGAAGCTTGGACAGCTCCTCCTCTCAGCCAGACCCAGGTGGTTCTTCTCACACCAGTCCACTAAGTTTATGATGAATGATCGAGCTCTGACTGACTGACCGCCGTGCAGCAGCGCGTACTGAGGGCGGTCAGTGAGGTAGTTGATGGTCCAGGCAGCAAGATGTCTGTCCTCTCCAGCGTCCTCCAGCGTCCTCCAGCTTCCCCCTCAGCAGCTCTGCTCTGATGGTGCTGAAAGCGATGGAAAAGTCAAAGAACATCCTCTCACTGCGCTCCCAGTGGGGTCCAGGGTGGGGCTCACCACGGTGCGCAGGTGAGCTAGGATGAGGCGCTCCGTGATCTTTGTCAGGTGGGAGGTCAGGGTGACCGGTCTGAGTTCATGTTCTGCTCCTAGAAGCTGAGCGAAGCGAAGAAGGAGAAGATCTTCACCAGTTTCTTTGTCCTTCAGGGAGGATTGAAGATAGAAAATGTTTTCTGGCTCATTGTGAGGATGGAGCCATTTCTCTGGCTGATTAATCATCTCAGTGATTTTAAATATCAGCTTCTGGTTCTGATTCGGTCCATTTTGGGCCATCAGGCTGCAGAGCTGCAGGTTCTGCTGGTGAGTGAAGTGCAGTCAGCTTATTGACGCAAATGTGACGCTTCTCCAGGTGGACGGTTCCTCCAGGGAAGCACCTGGCAGCATCATCAGACTGTTGGGGCTGTTAGAAGCGGAGCAGGTGCGCCGCATGGAGCCGCAGCAGATCTTCATCCAGAAATAGCTGAAGCTGCAGAGCTGCATCACAGACAGAGAGAGAGAAGGAGAGTCGCTGAGCAGCAGCCTGAGGCCTGCAGATGAAGGTCCAGCTTCTCTCATTAAAACGGAGACCCTGGAACTCTGGATTCACAGAGAAACAACATAAGAAACGCAGGAATTTATTCAGTCACACACAGAAAGCTGTTCTGGTCTCCCCCAGCAAAAAAAGAGAAACACCTCAGGGTACGGGGGGTTCTGACCCGGTTTCAGTCCCTTCCTGTGGGCCTTCGCTTCCACTATCCTTTGATTGTTTGTTCGGTTCTGACCTGCTGCTGATGCCTGAGGAGGTTTCATTCTGTCTAAGGAGGCTGCAGGTGGACGGCAGACCCACTAGATGCTGATCCTGGTCTAACCCCACCTGATGCCTCCTCCTGAGTTTCCTTCTAATGCCTCCTCCCTAGTGTCCTCCTGATGCCTCCTCCCTAGTTTCCTCCTGATGCCTCCTCCTTGGTTTCCTTCTGATGCCTCCTCCCTAGTTTCCTTCTGATGCCTCCTCCTTGGTTTCCTCCTGATGCCTCCTCCCTAGTTTCCTCCTGATGCCTCCTCCCTAGTCTCCTCCTGATGCCTCCCCCCTGGTGTCCTGCTGATGCCTCCTCCCTAGTCTCCTTCAGATGCCTCCTCCTGGTCTGGTTCTGCCCCATTTCCGGGCCTATAAAGGGAATCGAACTGTAAACCCGGGGAAGGTGTTGAATGTCATTCCTGTGAACTAAAGGCAGTGGAGGTTCTGGGCTGTAGGACTTCCTGCTGAGGTTCTGGACCAGATGAGGAGGATTCATGGAGGAGGAAGCCGTCGTTCTAAACCAGGAGATCTAATCAGAGGCCGGTCCAGTTTTTGGATCCTCAGGTTTCGGTTCCGTTTCCATGGTTGGTTGTTGAGGTTTGCTGAAAGGCGGAGCTTCTGGCCGTAGATCCTGGTGGACCGTATTTCTGGTTCCTTGCGTCTCCAGCAGAGGAAGTTTGGCTCATTTTAAAAGATGGTTTCTGTTTTCTGCTGCTTATGTAAGATCGCTGCTCAGCTCTGAGGACGGACGCAGCGTCCTTCCTCCCTCATCTTCCTCAGAGTTACAGAAACGCTCCCAGCAGACCTGGGAAGGGTCGGCACCGTCCCTCCCACAGCCCAGATCAGGTCTCCATGGTAACCAAACCACGTGTTGGACCTTTAGTAGCTCAGCCGTCCTCTACAGCCAAGTATTCAAGCAGACGTGAGCTGGTGAACGGCCCGTCCATCCGGAGCAGGCGGAAATGTTGCTATGGAGACGGTAAATATTAGCGGCCCAGTTGGGCTGCTGGTCCTGCAGCTGGAGGTCATCCATCCACCGTTCTTCAGACGAGAACGTGCCGATCTGGTTGTTCACCTGCTTCTCCATGGTGGAGTTCAGGTCTGGAGAGCTTCCTGAGCAGGACCACCATCAGGTTACTGCTCGTCCAACCGGAGAACCAGAACCAGGAAGGGTGTGAAAGGTCAACCATGTGGTTCCTGGTGGTTCTCCTGGAGAACCGTCCTCCTCCTCCAATCAGCCTCCATGGCTGAGAAATGATCCTCCTTTGAGGCTCCATTTCTAACCGCCCTCCTTCTCCTTCTAGTGCTGCTGTGCGCGCGGGTTTGGACCTCCCTGGAGAACGGCAGAGTGACGGCAAGGCCCCCCGGGCCCCCAGTGGAGGGGACGGTTCTGCATTACAGCTGCAACGCCGGCTTCATCCTGGAGGGGAGGAACAGCAGCCACTGCACCAAGCTGGGCAAATGGGACGCCCCCAAACCCACCTGCCTGTGTGAGTGTCTGCAGGGGTCAGAAAGTGGGCGGAGTCAGAGAACAGGGCTTCTTTCAGGCTAAAATTCCAAAATAAGAAAAAAAAATAAAAACAATCCACTGGATTTTATTTTCTAGTTTGAAGACGTTTCGCTTCCCATCCAGGAAGCTTTTTCATTCAAAATGTCAGCTGGATGTTTGAGGCTTAAATCAAGAATGTAGGAAAATAAAAAACTGGGATGGTTTAATAAACGGTCAGTTATATAAATAATCTGTTTCATTATTTAACTTTTTTAAATGAAGAGAAATAAAACGAGAACTAAAACAGAAACGTTAAAATCTCTGCTGCATCGATAGAAGACAGCAAAAGAAAATCAGTTCTAACCATAAATATATAATTCATTTAAAAAAAATGATTCTGTTCTAAACACTGAAAGAAAATCTGATATAAAAAAACTTCATGCATCTAAATAAATAAATAAATAATCATCGTTCTGGTATTTAAAGTATTTTGAATTCAGTTCATTATTTTGATTTGCGTTCTAGAGGCTAAATGGTTTAAAACATTTTTTTATAGAAATCATTTTAAAACAGAAGATTTTCTTTAAATCTTTAATTCTCTAATTTTTGGGCAAGAAGTAAATTTTGAAGAGAAGAGCAGCAGGCGGGGCCATCGGATGGTTACACACACCTGCTCTCCTATTGCTAGGCAACCAATGATCCGACCAATCGGAGCGTGATCCTCTGAGGGGTTGGTGGCTGTTTGGCAGGTAGAGGAGGAGGAGGAGGAGGAGGAGGAGGAGGAGGACTTCCTGTTTGGCTGCAGGAGGTGAATGAAGGGATGATGAGGACGCCGGGTCCTTCATTCACAAACAGAAGCCTTGGCAGCCGCAGCAGATGGCGGTCTGGGACGCTTTGTTCCGCTTACTGCAAATAAATCAGGACTTATGGGCAGAAAGAAGGAGACGTTGGCATGGCAACCAGAGAAGTTGCTATGGAAATGCTGGTATTATTCAGAGGATGAAATGAACAAGAAGTTCTGCACAAATGTTTAGATTTTTCAAAAGCGTCACTGATTTATTTCAGCTGCAGAATCAGAAAAATAAAACCAGATTTATTCCTCGTTCCTGATTCTAAATGAATCAGTTTTTTCTCAGTTTGCAGATCAGTTATATAAATAATGAACTCCTGTCAGCAGAGCTGCTCACATTTAGTGATGCGCTGCTGCCACCTAGTGGACATGAAGCAGATGCATCCAATCCAACTTTATTTATAAAGCGCTTTAAAATAAGGACCAAAGGTCTGTACAGTGAAACATCATTACACATGATAAAAAACAAACATACAAGTATAAAGACAACTATAAAATCTATAATATAATAAAACTAATATAAAATAATGTATCACAGACTAAAAGCAATATCTCACACAGTTTAGAAAGCCAAGGCAAGTTTCTGAGAGTGATTTAAAATCAGACAAAGAAGTAGAGAATTTAATCTGCAATGGAAGGCGGTTCCACAGAGAGAGCGCCATCGCCTCTAAGCTTCCCTTTAGTTTTTCACCCTGAAACAGCAGCTGATCTGAGCTGAGTGAACGGAAGGGGGCTTGAGGTGCAGCAACTCAGATAAAATGGAGCAAGAGACTTAATAACTAATAAATAATAATAACTAACTAATAAAAGATATTTAAATGAATCCTAAACTGTACAGGCAGTCAGTGTAATGAGGCTAAAATTGTGGTAATGTGGTCATATTTCCGAGTGCCGGTAAAGCCGTGCTGCAGCGTTTTTCACTCTCTGGAGCAAAGATGGAGGCACTAAGCCCTGCAGCATTAACATCTATTTTTTTTTTTTTATAATTATATTTATTGGTTTGTAACGTTTTGACAAACAAGCAAATACAATACAAGACAAGAACAAGAGAAAAATCCAGCTGTTAGAGTTACATACCTATATACGAGCAGATGCGTACACATACACACACATATACATACCGACCAAAGAGAAAAGAAGGGAGAAAAAAAAGGACAGCAATGGAAGACAAATGGTCCGAACCAAAACATCTCAGATGTTTACAATTCGGACATCCTCAAATTATAAATCCTCTCCGAAGAAGAACCGAGGTTTCAAATCCTACATAAGAAATAAAAGGTTCCCAAACTTTATAAAAGTTATTTTCTTTATCGTGCAGTTTGCTCGTCAAATAGTCCAAAGATATATAGTCCAGTACTATATTTAGCCATTGGGATTTACTTGGTGCTTTGTCAGAAATCCAATTCAGTACCACACATGTTCTTGCACAAAAAGTAAGCATTCTGTAGAGTTGACGCTGATGTTTACCAGTAATACTGGTGTAAAGTAGTAAATACAATGGGTTGAATTGTGTGCCAACAGAGAAAATCTTATCTAATTCACATTTTATTATTTGCCAAAAATGTTGAATTTCCCTGCAGGACCAGTAACAATGTGTGAGACTACCAATATCCACTCTACATTTCAGACACAATGGTGAGAGGCTTGTTTTGAATTTACTTCGCTGAGAAGGAGAAATGTAAAATTTTAAATTGTTTGGCCTTAACCCGATTGCAAATACTTAAAGACTTTGAATTCTTCCAGGCCTCATCCCATCCCTCCTGATTTATTGTACACTGCAATTCCCTTTCCCAAACTTCTTTTAGGTGAAATGTATTTGGTAAGGGGTGCTTTCAGCAAGTTGTAAAAGGTTTTAATTGAAGTTTTTACCCTGGAGGAAAAAAGCTGTTTTTCAAGCATCAACATCTATTAATAAACCCTTTTTTCTTCCCTTTCTATTTGCTCCCCCAAGATGACAGAAACTACACAGGTAAGACTCCCTTCTTATCATCTTAAAGCTCTTCTTTCTGTTTTATTTTCACTAAAAATGATCAATTTCTCCGTTTCTAAAGAAAAGAGGAAATGGATGTGTGTGATTGGCTGACAGTAAATGGAAGATAGGAGCAGCGATGACCTCAGGGTGTCGGTTCGGGACGCTGCAGACCCAAATAGCATGCAACGTATAATCAGCAGGGATTAGTGATACTGCAACATGAAGGCTATTGCTAGTTAGCAGCTAACAGCAAATCAATGATTTGTGGTTTAATGTTAACCATAAAATACACAATAAACTACTGCTAAGCTATCGATGGAGGCATGGGGGGTTAAAGCAGAGTCTAACACAA